GCGATGGGGGGCGTACCAAAATGGGCGCGGTCACACATGCGGTCGCTGCCACTGGGGCATTCGGTGGAGCTCCCTATTTTGCCACGAAGCGGGTGAAGGCTGTGCCCAAATGGCAGCGGTCACGCATGCGAGCGCGGCCGCTGTGGCCTTCGATGGGTTCTCCATGGGGCCGCGAAACGTGTGAGGGGCGTGCGTAAAATTATGCGGTCGCACATGCGGTTGCGGCTACCAAGGCCTTCGGCGAAGCTCACCATGGGGCCATGAAGCGTGCGCAGAGTATGTCAAACTGGGCGCGGTCATATATGCGGGCACGGCCGCTGTGGCCGTCGGTGGAACTCTATGGCAACGAAACGCACGAAGGATGTGTCCACATGTGCGCTGTCACACATGCGGTCGCGGCCACTGTGGCCTTCGGTGGGGTTCCATATGGGGCCACGGAACGTGTGAGGGGTGCGCGATAATGCGCGCGGTCAAACATGCAATCGCGGCTTCTAAAGCCTTCCGTAGGGCTCATCCTGGGGCCACGAAGCGCGCGACGGCTGTCCCAAATGGTGCGCGGTCACGCATGCGGTCACGGCCACTGGGGCCTTCGGTGGATGTCCCTGCGTGGCCACGAAGCGTGTGAGGTGTGTGTGTGTGCCAGAATGACACAATCACGCCTGCGGTCGCGGCCACTGGGGCGTTCGGCGGAGCTCCCTGCGGTGCCGCTAAACGGGCGAGGGGTGCGCCAGAATGTGCGCGGTCACACATGCGGCCGCGGCCTGTGGGATCTTCTGTGCAGCTCCTTGTGGGGCAGCGAAACGTGTGCGGGTGTGCCAACGTGGGCGCGGTCATGCATGCGGTCGCGGCAATTCGGGCATTCGGCTGAGCTCCCCATGGGGCCACGAAACGTGTGAGGGGTGTGCCAAACTGTGCGCTGTCACACATGCGGTCGCGGCCACTGGGGCCTTCGGTGGACTAACCTGTGGGGCAACAAAACGTGTGAGGGGTGTGCCAACATGCGCGCGGTCACACATGCGGTCGCGGCCATTGTGGCCTTCTGTTGGGCCCCCTACAGGGCTCCGAAGCGTGTGCGGGGGGTGTGCCAACAATGTGGCTGCCCAGGCGGTCGCGGCCACTGAGGCTTCCAGTGGAGCTTCCGATGCAACCACGAAGCGTGCGGGGCGTGCCAAAACGTGTGCGACCACGCAGCATGCGGCCACGGCCGCTGGGGCCGTCGGTGGAGCTACCTCTGTGGCCACGGTACGTGTCAGGGTATGCTAACTCAGCGCAGTCACACATGCGGCGGCGGCCATGGGGGCCTTCGGTGGAGCTCATGGGGGGCCACGAAACGTGTGAGGGGGCGCCAAAATGAACGCGGCCACGCCGGCGGTCGTGGCCACTGGGGCCTTCGGTGGAGCTCCGTGTGGGGCCGACAAACGAGTGAGGGTGTACCAAAATGCGCGCGGTCACACATGCGGTGACAGCTACTAGGGCTTTCGGTGGAGTTCCTATGGGGCTAAGAAGCGTCCGAGAGGTGTCCCAAAACATGCGCGGCCACACATGCGGTCGCGGCAACTGGTGCATTCGGTGGAGCTGCCGATTCTGCCACGCGGCGTGTGGGATGTGTGCCAAACAGTGCGCGGTCACACATGCTGTCGCGGCCATTGGGTGCCTTCTGTGGAGCTCCATATGGGGCCACGAATCGTGTGAGGGGTGTGCTAGATTGAGCGCGGTCGCACACGCGGTCGCGGCCACTGGGGCCTTCGAATGGGTTCCCGATGTGGCCACGAAACGTGTGCGGGTGTGCCAAAGTGAGCGCGGTCATGCATGCGGTCGCGGCCACTGGGGCCTTCGGTGGAGCTCCCTATGTGGCTACGCAACGTGTGAGGGGTGTGCCAACATGTGCGCGGTCACACATGAGGTCGCGGCCACTGGGGCCGTCGGTAGAGCTCATAATGTGGCTACGGAGCGCGCGAGGGGTGTGCCGATGTCAGCGCAGTCACAATTCCGATCGCGGCCACTGGGGCCTTCGGTGGGGCCCCTATGGGGCCACGAAGCGTGTGAAGAGTGCACCAAAACAAGCGCGGTCACACAGGTGGTCGCGGCCACTAGGGCATTCGGTGGAGCTCCCTATGGGGCAGCGAACATGGTGACTCGTGTGTCAAAGTGATCGCAGTCACACATGCGGTCGCTGCCATTGGGGCCTTCGGTGAAGCCCGTTATGTGGCCACGCAGCGTGTGAGGGGTGTGCAACAATAGGGGGGCGGCCGCACATGCCGTCGCGGCCACCGAGGCCTTCGGTGGAGCTCCTTCTGGAGCCACGAAACGTGTGAGGGGTCGTCCAAACTGGGCGCGGCCGCACATACGGTCGCGGTCACCAGGGCCTTCGGTGGAGCTGCCGATGTGGTCACGAAGCATGTGATGGGTGTGCCACAGTGGGCGCGGTTACACATGTGGTCGCGGCCACTGTGGCCTTAGGTTGAACTCCCTCTGGGGCCAAGAAACGTGTGAGGGGTGAACCAAGATGCGCGCGTTCACACATGCGGTCGCGGCCATTGGGGCCTTCGGTGGAATTCCTTATCTGGCAACGAAACGTGTGAGGGTGTTCCAAAATGCGCGCGGTCGCACAGGCGGCGGCGGCTACTGTTGCCTTCGGTGGAGCTCCCCATGGGGCCAAGAAGCGTGTGTCAGTTTTGCCAACATGTGCGCGGCCATAACTGCGGCTGCGGCCACTGGGGCATTCGATGGAACTTCCTCTCTGGGGCCAAGAACCGTGTGAGGGGGGTGCCAACATGAGTGCGGTCACACCTGAGTCGGGGCCATTTGAGCAGTTGGTGGGGCTCTCTATACGGCCACGAAGCGTGTGGATGGGGGTGCCAAAATTGACGCGGTCACACATGCGGTCGCGGCCACTGGTGCATTCGGTGGCGCTCCCTATGCGGCCACGAAGCGTGTGAGGGGTGTACCAAACATGCGCGCGGTCACACATGCGGTGGCGGCTACTGTGGCCTTCGGTCGGCGCCCTATATGGCCACGAAAGGTGTGGGGGGTGCGCCAACATGTGGGCGGCCATGCATGCGGTCGCGGCCATTGGGGCCTTCGGTAGGGCCCCCTATGGGGCCACGAAGCGTGTGACGGGGTCTCAAACTGGGCGCGGCCACGCATGCGGCCGCGGCCACTTGGGCTTTCGGTGGGCCCCCCCATGCTGCCACCAAACGCGTCAGGGGTGTTCCACAATCCGCGCGGGCACAAACATGGTCGCGGCCACTGGGGCTTTCGAAGGGGGCACCGATGAGGCCACGAAACACGTGAGGGGTGTGCCAATATGAGCGCAGTCACACATGCGGTGGCGGCTACTGGGGCCTTCGGTGGAGCTCCCATATGCCGTAACGAAACGTGTGAGGAGTGTAACAAAATGTGCGCGGCCACACCTGTGGTCGCGGCTACTGGGGCCTTCGGTGGAACTCCCCATGTGGTCACGAAACGGGTGAGGGTGTGCCAAAGATGGTGCAGTCACACATGCAGTCGCGACCAATGGGGCATTCGGTGGAACTCCCTTTGGGGCCACAAAGCGTGTGAGGGGCGTACCAAAATGCGTGCGGTCACACATGTGGTCGCGGTCACCAGGGCCTTCGGTGGAGCTGCCGATGGGGCAACGAAAACTGCGAGGTGTGTGTCAGAATGGGCGCGGTCCCCATGCTGCCGCGGCCACTGGGGGCCGTCGGTGGAGCTCCCTATGGGGCCAAGAAGCGTGTGAGGGGTGTGCCGCAATGGGGCGCGGTCACACATGCGGTCGCGGCCACTGAGGCCTTCGGTGGGGCCCCCTATGAGGCCACGAAGCGCGTGAGGGGTATGCCAGAATGTGCGCAGTCACACATGCGGTCGCGGCCACTAGGGGCTTCGGTGGAGCTCCCAAGGAGGCCGCGAAACGTGTGAGGGGTGTGCCACAATGGGCGCGGTCACACATGCGGCCGTGGCGACTGGGGTCTTCGGTGGAGCTCCCTATGGGGCCAAGAGACGTGTGCAGAGAGCAGAGGAGAGCAGTAGGGAGGAGGGAGCAGCGGGCGAAGAGGAGGAGTGAGGTAGCGGGGCGCTGTCTCTTCAAAACGATGACCCAACACCACAGGATGCTCGAGAAAAGCTTCCCAGCCAGGGAACCACGCACGCACATTTCATTGCTGGAAAATTGTTCAGGGAATCAGCAGTAGCGCAATAGTAACCGTCTTAATAATATGCGCCCCCCTTTCGATTATGCAGCGCGCGCCCCCCGTCTGGGTTGTCAAGTCGGCGCCCCCCTCTGGGTTGTCATGTGGGCGCCCCCCTCAGGTCCCGAAGCGCGCGAGGGGCGTGCCAGACTGTGCGGGAGGGGGGGGGGGAGGGGGAGGGGTATTCTATTCCCATAACCAAAGTCCAGCGTGGCTCCTTATAGGATCACGAAACGCGCGGGGGTCGTGGCACTATGCCAGGTGGGCCAAATGCTGGGGAAGCCGCATGCGAACAAGGGAAACTGTGGACCACAACGTGTGTGTGGTGTTCCGGAGTGGTGTGGCGTGGACACAGCCTGCGGCGTTTCGCGGCTGGGTTTTCGGCATATTCCTCATGGGGCAATGAAACGTGTGAGGGGCGTGCCACAGTGCATGGGGGTGCCGCGTGCGAACACTCCCATGCAGTTTTTCTGTTGGGGCCCCCTGTGGGGCCTGTGGAGCCACGAGACGTGTGAGGGGTGTGCCAGAATGTGTGAGTGGGGGGGTGCCAGATGCGAGCCTTACCATAGTGGCTTTCCGTGGGTGGTGGGCCCCTCGATGAGGCCACAAAGCGTTTGATGGATGTGCCAGCGTTCCAGGGCCCAGGGCGGGGGCCGCCTGCGCTCCATGCCATTGTGATTTGCGCTGTGGTTTCTAGTCCAGGGCGGGTGTACTACAGTCCACATGCGCGGCTCGTTTTCGAAGTAGTGCCGTGCCAATCCGACTTTCCTTTTCCGTATGATTCAGATTCAGATGCATTTCATTCCCCATGAGGATTTCGTGATGGAGTGCTTGACTTTCACACTGACTGGTGACGTCCTGGCACAGGAGATCGACCCCGAGGCGCCGTCGCTGCGGAACGGCGGGAGCATGGTGAAGCAGAAGCTCGATTTCGCCATGGAGTTCTTCATCACGGAGGTGCTGTGCTCGTGGATCCAGAGGGAAGCCGCGGCGTCGAACGCAGTGCTCTCGCTCTCCAAGGCAGCGCTGGCGGTGCTGAACCAGGACTTGCGCAGGGTTGACTTCCCTGGAGAGGTGAAGAAGGAAGCTGTGGAGATGAGGTCTGTGATGAAGGTGCTGCAGTCACTGTTCCACTCCGCAGACGATGCCGCCACCTTGGCAAGCAAGCTGGACATGCTGAAGGAGCTGGAGGTCGCGGAGGCGGAGAACGCCGATGGCATTGCGGCGTTGGTCATGAGTTCTATGAAGGGCTCGCCTTATTACGCGGACCTTCTGACGCGTCTGTCTGCTTGCCAGCCTGCCTGGGACAAATACGGTACCCAGATCAGTGCTTCGCAGGAGTGGTTCGATGGCTTTGATGACTCGGACTCTGTTGAAGACATGCTTTCGGACGCGAACTTCAAGCACACTGCGGAAGTGCTGGCGGCAGAGTACAAGAACATACTATCTTGGCAGACGGCTCCGTTCCGTGAGGGGTCCCTCGAGCCGATCATGTGCTCCGCGAAGAACGCATTGAGGATGGTTTTCAACAACAGCGCTTACGGTGCCTGGCCCAGTTCGTTAAACCGGCCTTGTGATCCTGCGCATCTGGAAGCCGCCCTCGCGTCAGCCAAGCAGCTCTTCCCAGCTGATGAAGATTTCGCCAAGTGGCACTTCCAGTTCGAGAAGCAGAAGCAGACCCGCGCCGCCATGGAGAAGCAAGCAGCCTTGAAGGATATCTTCAGTGAGGTGACCGCCAGCATCACGCGGGATAAGGAGGTGGCACTGGACGCGCGAGCCCGCCTGGAAGGTGCGCTGAAGAGCAGTGCGAGCAAGCATGGGGACGCCGAGCTGGATTTGTCGTTGAATCATTTGTTCTGGACATGGTCGGCCATCGTCTTTCAGAACCGAGTGGATGGTAATACTGATTACGTCGCGGATGAGACGTCCTTGACCCTCATCGCAGGGCACCTGAAGCCAGGCGACGTGAAGATATCTAAGAAAGCCGCGCAGTTCTTGTGCGAGTACCGCGCCATGCTCATCGCTGCCGACGCGTTCGATAAGCTCGGCAACCCCATGGCGGAGAAGGCGCTCCACGACCAAGCTTTTCGCCGCATCTCCGACCTCAAGAGCCGTGCCATGGCTGTGAACGACCTTGCAGAATCAATCAAGGACTCTTCTAAGCAGCACTGAACTTCATGGGATGCGTCCAATGCGAAGGTGGCCGCCGTGACGGATGACTTGGACAAGGTTTCGAAGCGCATCGCAGAGTCCAAGAGGATGGTTGTGGACGACGCCCGTGTTGCTCTCAGCAGGGTCAACAAAGGAGGCGCGAACGGCTTGCACTGGCACGAGAACTTCAAAGGCAAGACCCTCAAAGCGGTTATCAGGTACGGCATGACGCACCTCGTGAACTCCGAGTCCGTGGACCTGGACGCCATGATGAACATGGCAACCCAGCTGGAGGAGGCGACTGCGACGACGACTCCGACGACGACTCCGACGACGACGACGAGGAGGAGAACGAGGAGGAGGAGGAGAAGGAGGGGGAGGAGGAGGACGGATGACGGAGGATCCAAGAGGCCTTCGACGACTACAACTCGATTCTCGAGGCCCTGCACCTCGACCCGCCGAGCTCCGACTACAAGCGCAGCGTCCAGCTGGCATTGGACTGGGCTAACGCGACGGAGCTGAACGTTGGTGTCATCAAGAGCCTCGACACCATCACTGACAGCACGCTCTTGTACGATGCCATGCTGAAGCTCGACGGGGACATCAAGAAACGCTGCGCGGTGCTCGAGATGATCGACGTGCTCCACAGCATCGTCTTCAAGAAGGTCGAGTCCGTGTTGGGGTGATTTCGGCGCCCCCTCGTGTCGCGCTGGCGGCCCGCGCCAGGACACATGGCGTGCGAGGGGCGCTCGCGACGTGCAGCGAGCGCTGAGAGAGCGGAGGAAAGGGAGGAGGCGGAGGAGGAGTAGGAGGAGGAGGAGGAGAACGAGGAGGAAGAGGAGGAGGAGGACGAGGAAGAGGACGAGGAGGAGGAGGAGGATGAGGAGAACAAGGAGGAAGAGGACAGGGACGAGGACGAGGACGAGGACGAGGAGGAGGAGGAGGAGGAGGCGGAGGAGGAGGAGGAGTAGGAAAGGAGTGCGTGCGTCGGGGGTCCTGGGAAGTGCGTCGGGGGTCTGGGTAACCTTCACCCTTTTGCCAACTCCCCTCTTTGCTAAACCCCTCCTCCGCCTCCTCCTCCTCCTCCCCCCTCCGCCTTCCCTCCGTTTCTCCTCCTCCTCCTCCTCCTCCTCCTCGTCGCCGTCGTCGTCGGCCTCCTCCTCCTCCTCCTCCTCAGCTCTGACCCAACTAACTCTAGCTCAACGTTTGCCCTCCGATTCGCACCCTCGCCCGTGCCCCCGGCCCGCTCGATGGGCCGACGCCTCTGTGAATCGTTTCGTAGCTCTGTCGAAGATGCCGAGTGGCCCCACCGCTGCGGTAATCGTCATTTCCGTGGCTCCTTGCCGCCGACTATTGGGTATGCGAAACGCTTGTAGGTTTCAAATCGAGAGACTTGCGGATGCGCTTTGCGAAATACACAACGAATCAGTCATGCAACTCCACGCGCACGGCTGGCGGCACTGAGAATCACCATGTTTGCGAAAACCAAGATGCATCAAAACACCATGTGTTTTAAGGATGTTAAAAACCATCAAAATAGCATTTTCCTACATATCTTGTTTTGAAGGCCCAGAGGAGGACAGAACCATCATAACACTCGCACCGGGGAGCTTGCCTGCCGAGCTCTGGAAAGCTCTCCTCAAGCGCTTCTGCAGCACTTCTGCAGCACTGCCAGGCACGCTTCCGCGCGTGCCTGCACGGACGCAGGCGCGCTTGGAGGCATGCCGGAAGCGCTCCCGGACCAGCTGCCGGGCCAAACAACCTTCTGCAGGGATTCTGGAGCGGTGAAGATGGGCTGCTGGCGGGCACCACCACCGCCCGGCTTCTAATCTAAAACCGCATAGCTCTCAGAGAGCTCTCCGGGAATTATTCTTAAGCTTCCTGCAACTAGCTAAGGGAAGCTCTACGAGTTACTAGCTCCACCTTGCGCCCGAATCCCTCCTAGCTCACCCTGGCAAGAGCTCTACGAGGTATAAGCTGCCCTTCACAGCTCCGGGGGCTCCCCTGCAGCGCTTGTGAAGCGCTGCCAGGAGCGCTTCCACGCTTGCCTGCACGGGTGCAGGCACGCGTGGACGCGTGCCGGAAGCGCCCCCGGACGGGCTGCCGGCACGGGCGAACTGCTGCGGGGGTCGTGGACTGGCGGAGATGGGCTGCTGGCGGGCACCACCACCGTCCGGCTCCTAATCTAAAACCCTCTAGCTCTCAGAGAGCTCTCCGGGAATCTTGGAGAGCTCCAGGGGGCTCCCCTGAAGCGCTCCGAAAGCGCAGCAGGCACGCCTCCATGCGTGCCTGCAAGCGTGCAGGCACGCGTGGACGCTAGGCGGAGGCGCTCCCGGACCCGCTGCCAGCACGGGCGAGTCGTTGCGCGGATCGTGGAGCGGCGGAGATGGGCTGCTGGCGGGCACCACCACCGTCGGGCTTCTAATCCAAAGCCCTCTAGCTCTTAGAGAGCTCGCCGGGGAACTAGCTCCACCCCGTGCCGGAATTCCTCTTGCTCATCGATGCCGAAGAGCTCTACGAGGTACCAACCAAAAGTTGCCACTTTGTCTCTTCTGGTCGGATCGACCAACGAGCTCCAGCCCGCGCCCGAATTCTTCTAGCTCGTCGATAACGAATGGCTCTACGAGGTATTACTCCTAAGCTTCCAGCAACTAGCTCAGAGAGGCTCTACGAGTTACTCTGAAGCTTTCAGTAACTAGCTAAGGGAAGCTCTACGAGTTACTAGCTCTCCAGCGCCCCGGAATTTCACTTCAGCTTCCTAGCGAAGGGAAGCTCTACTAGTTACTAGGTAGCTTCCAAAACCCGGAGAGCGAAGAGGCACTCGCAGAAACACAGCACACGCACGCGGCCCAGCGTGCTTGGAGACGTTGGAAATCTCACGAGACGGAGCTCTGGAGCCGCTGGAAAGCTTCCCTGCGTTGCTGTATGCTCTGGAAAAGCTATCCTTCACAGCCCTGGGAGCTCCGCTGCAGTGCTTCTGAAACGCTGCCAGGAACGCTTCCACGCGTGCCTTCGCGCGTGCAGGCTCGCGCGGGCGCGTGCCGGAAGCGCTCCCGGACCAGCTGCCGGCACGCGCGAACTGGTGCGAGGATCGTGGAGTGGCGGAGATGGGCTGCTGGCGGGCACCACCACCGTCCGGCTTCTAATCTAAAACCCTCTAGCTCCCAGAGAGCCCTCCGGGAACTAGCTCCACCCTGCGCCCGAATTCCTCTTAGCTCATCTTGGCGAAGAGCTTTTCGAGGTGCTAGCTCCACGCCGCGCCCGAATTCCTCTAGCTCATCGATGCCGAAGAGCTCTACGAGGTAGTATGCCGACGGGGCCTGGAGGGAGCTTCCGAAAGACCTTCTTGAAAGGTTCCGGCGCGCTTATAGGAAAACGCTTAGAAAACGCCCGTAAGGGCGCACTGCGAGCTTCAAGAAGCAAGCTGCGAGGCTTCCAGCTGGAGGCCGGAACGACGTCCGGGCTGACTCTGCGGTCTGGGCTTCTAGAACCTCGTAGAGCTCTTCGGCATCCATGAGCTCGAGGAATTCCGGCGCGGGGTGGAGCTAGTACCTCGTAGAGCTTTTCGGCAACGATGAGCTAGAGCATCCCTTTAGCTAGTTGCTGGAAGCTTCAGAGTAATTCCGGGGCGCTGGAGAGCTAGTAACTCGTAGAGCTTCCCTCGGCTAGTTGCTGGAAGCTTAAAAGTACCTCGTGAAGCTCTTCGGCAAAAAGCTCAGAGGAATACCTCGTAGAGCTCTTCGTCATCGATGAGCTAGAGGAATTCCGGCGCGGGGTGGAGCTAGTTGGTCGACCCGGCCAGAAAGGACAATGTTCCCGGAGAGCTCTCTGAGATCGAGGGCTTTTGATTAGAAGCCGGACGGTGGTGGTGCCCGCCAGCAGCCCATCTCCGCCGGTCCACGATCCTCGCAGCGGCTCGCGCGTGCTGGCAGCTGGTCCGGGGGCGCTTCCGGCACGCGTCCACGCGTGCCTGCACGCGTGCAGGCACGCGTCGAGGCGTGCCTGGCAGCGCTACCGGAGCGCTTCAGGGAAGCCCCGCAGAGCTCTCCAGGAAAGATGTCCCGTCTCCGAGGGTCTCTCCGCTCTCTGGGTTTTGGACGCTACCAAATGTTAACTGTGGGTCGATTTTGCGAATATTTGAAAGATATTCCCAGAGAGCTTTCTGAGAGCTAGAGGGTTTTAGAAGATTAGAAGCCGTGCGGTGGTGGTGCCCGCAAGGAGCTCCTCCACGGCGGTCCACGTCCGCCGTAGCAGTTCGCCCGAGCCGGCAGCCCGTCCGGGAAGGCTGCTGGTGCGCGTCCACGCGTGCCTGCACGCGTGCAGGCACGCGTGGAGGCGTTCCTGGCAGCGCTTCAGAAGCGCTGCAGTTGGGATCCCCGGGGCTCTCCAGGAAAGATACCTCGTAGAGCTCTTCGGCAAAGAGCTAAAAGGAATTCGGGCGCAGGGTGGAGCTAGTTGGCCGACCCGACCTTACGAGACAATGTGGTAACTTTGGGTCGGTTTTGCAATCTTTGTGCAAAATTTTGAAATTCATTGTCAGGAGTGAGATTTTCATTCCCTGCAGTAAGCTATGGCGCAGCTGTTGGTAAATTTCCATGTCTCTAGGGGCAGTATTACTATCAAAACATTTGGAGGAACCGACTTTCTATCGACCGCCAAAAAATGCGTTTCTCTGAGTCATGAAAAGCTTTTGCGGTGAGCAGGCAGGAAGGAAGGGAGGGGAGTGGGTTATGCCGCTTGTATCAGTCGACTTATCAGGCTCGTAGGTGCAATCTTACTATCCAATCGCTGCAGAAACCGATCTTAAATGAAAGCCAACAAATCGTGATTGCTCGAGTTTTTCGGCTCTTGCTTCAGAAGCTTCCTCCATGTTCCGAGAAGCGCTGTGCAAGAAGAGAGCTCTACGAGGTGCCGGCGGTAACTTGGTTGACGGTTTACCGCCGGCTGGGAACCGGCGGTAAACCGTCAACCAGGTTACCGCCGGGCACCTCGTAGAGCTCTTTTCTTGCACAGCGCTCCTCGGAACATGGAGGAAGCTGCTGAAGCGAGAGCCGAAAAACTCGAAAAATCGCGATCTTTCGGTTTTCATCCAAAGTCGGTTCCTCCAATTGTTTTCATAGTGATACTGCGCGTATAGACTTGAGAATTTGACGAACAGAGGCGGCATAACCCACTCCCTTCCCTCCCTCCCTGCCTGCTCACCGAAAAAGCTTATGAGATGATTCAGGAAAGCGCATTTTTTGGTCTCGATA